CCCTGTTTGGGATGACATCCAATAGAGACCAACCGAAATGCAACACGGAGGGCAGGTTGATGTGTGTGCGTGCCTTTCAAACACGTCTCCCGGAGGAGCAGCAAGAACCTGCTTCCTCACACCCTCGTCCACGTTCAGGGTCGCCCCCGGCCGGTGCAGAGCGCTGATTGCTCAGTGACAGCCCAGGGGTGGCAGCGTGGGCCCCGCCCCCGAGGTAACTAGGAGAAAGAGCTGATGATCTATCTACTTATACAGACTCAGTCCTTGAGGACCCTGTGGAGCACAGGTCTGCTCTGACACCTGGTGGGTGGGAGGGCACCCTGAGGCTGGGTGGGATCGCAGCAACAGGGTTACTCTTCTACTTCCGGAAGAATGAGAGCGGAAAGGGAGGAGCAATTCCACAAAGGAGTCCTTCGATGGTTTTGTTCCACACACACAGTCAGGGCAGGGGACCTTTTTTCTGCTAAGGGCCATTTGGATATGTCCGGTGTTAGCGACAGGAAAGTAGCCAGCTATGCTTGGTTAGCCATCCAGTGAACTCCCCTGTAACGTGATGGCGCGGAGCCCTGGGGTGTCGCGGCGACACGCCGGGCTGCTAACCCACATGTCCGCGGTTCAGACCCCCGGCCTTTCCGAGGGGGACGGACAAGGCTGTCTACTCCTGGGAAGAGTTACAGTCTCGGAAACCTGCAGGTCTACGCAGGCCAGTGTGGAAGTCTGGGGGTAAGCAATGGGGGGACCAGGGGGTGGTGGTTGGTGTTTAAGGCAGTGACCCGTCTCTGTTCTCTCTTCTTAAAACACGTGAGTTTTATTCATTTCCCCTTTTACTTGTGGGATATAACTCATAGAAAACATACCATATGTGGTGCACATCCGATCTCATCCAAATGACTCAGGCCACGCCCACCCGCTGCCCTCGAGGCCACGCCGACTCACTGTGACCCGCCAGCACAGGGCAGAACTGCCCCGACTCTTCACAGGAGTAGACAGCTCCCTCTTTCTCCCCAAACAATGAAACCCCCGTATATGTGCTGCTCCTGCTGCTGCTGCTCGCTTTTATTTTTCCTTTTCCCACCCCCCCTTCCCTCTTTGACGAGGTTCTGAATCTTTACAGGAGCAGGAAGCCTCATCTTGCTCCCGCAGAGCAGCTCGTGGTTTCGAACTGCTGACCTTTCTAGTTGACTTTGCGGTTCGTAGCCCAACACGTCACCCAGGGCATGAAAGCCGCTGCATTGGTCAGTGTGCGCCTCTTGTCCCACTTTCCAAAGGCGTAGCAGCCTCCTGGGCTGGGCGTCCTCGAAGCTGGCTCTCGCTCTGCCCACAGAATCGCCAAGAGCTACCAGACGTCCCCTGACCTGCGGCTGACGTGGCTGCAGAACATGGCGGAGAAGCACACCAAGAGGAAGTGCTACACGGAGGCGGCCATGTGTCTGGTGCACGCGGCCGCACTGGTGGCCGAGTACCTGAGCATGCTGGAGGACCACAGCTACCTGCCCGTGGGCAGCGTCAGCTTCCAGGTGCCCACTTGGGGGAGGCAAGGGCAGGCTGCCCGAGTCTACAGACCTTGTGCTTGTCACAGTAGGGGCATTGGGGGTGGGGGCTGGTGGGGGCGGATCTAGTGTGGAGCAGGTAGAGCCCAGGGATGCTGCCCAGCACACCGCAGGGCCCAGGACAGCCCCCCTCCCCTCAAGAAGCGCCCCCCCCTCCCCACTCCAGAAGG